ACAAACACCAAAAGAAAACTGCAGTCTGTGTGACAAAAAGGATGCAGAGCAGAGCAGATTAAGGGCAGTGCAAATTGGAGAGGAGGGATGGTTCAGTCTTCAGCTAGGAAAAAAAATAACAAGAGAAATGATCTCTCTGTGCTTACATGAGATATATGCAACTTGTATGTATAGAAGAAAAGAGAAGTTGCTTGAGAACGCCAATAAATCCTTTCTTACCAGTCTAAACTTCACATGAGAAAGGTGGACTGAATTCTGCTTTGCTACAATCACGTAAACCTTCTGTGATTTTACTGACTTTGGGGAGCGTACCGGTAAGTACTGCTTCTAGTTATTATAATTGCACATCTAATTAAACACTTTACGGAAGTGGACATTAGACTGCTACCAGGGGACCCACAGCATGAGTGTATGTTGCTTTCAGTACCACGGGATTTCATAAACAGTTCAGGAAGAAAAAACCACAGTAACAGATGTCTACGTGAGGCACGTAACCCCTTCGGCTCTAAGGACTAAGTTTTTGCCTAATCGAACCGCTTAGTCCCAGAAGCTAATGAACAGCCACTTTGTGCCTCTTACACTTGGCTCGATTAAGATGTATAATGAAATGCAACACATCATTTTCTGTAATTTGATTTATCCCTTTTTGCTGCCACCTAGCAACGTTACATGGTGTTAAATCTTCCAGCTTATGCTGTCCTCCCATCCTCCCCACTTTATTTCTTCTTTTTCCCCTTCTTGTTTCTCCCCTCCGTTTGATTTATTTATTTTTATGTTGTTTAGTTTTTATGCAGCTCCTTTCTGCATTAACCTTAGCATTAGGCAGCCTGGAAATCATCCTGCCTGAGAAACGCACTATGCACTGCAGGCAGCGCAGCTACACCACCGCTACAGTAGAATACAAGCAGCAGAGAGCTGCAAGCAGCAGCCACTGGTACCCGTTCTAAATTAATGACAGCTCTAGGAAAACGATAGTTCTGCCAGTGCAGAGAAGCCACTCATCAAAGCAGGAAAACCAAGGCACAACAAGCCTGGGTGCAGAAAGCAACTGGACGAATGAGTGTCCGACGTACCAGTGACAATGGAAAAGGCATTTGGTCTTCTCAGCAGGTCCACGTGAAATGTTCTGACCAGGCCAAAATAGAGATGCTGAGCGCTGATAAACTCAGCCTGCTGGCACCCGTGTTGCGCCATTCCCTCTCTGCCCAAGTGCTATGGGGAGATCGTGCTCTTCTACCTAATCCAGCCGGGGATCTGGGTGGGTTTTGTCAGCCTTGAAGCTTCAGGAATTGAAACAAAAGCCAAATTTAGTAAGAAATTCCATGCTCAGGATGGCTAAAGAGAAGCCAGCTGACAAGGTTTCTTTGCAAAATGAATGTTTAGTTTCACGCCTCTGTTCTTATCCTTCCTGCTATTCTAAAAGGTTCTTCCGTTACTGGAGTGAGCGACTGTGATATGGCAGTGACTCACGTTTCCATCTCTTTATCTAGCTGTATTACACTTAGAAGAAAAATCCCAGTCCAACTGCTGTGCAACTGTGCAAGATAAATTTTACAGACCCCAGCAGCACCAGAACAAGGTCCAAACTGCCACATGGTGTAAATTTTAGTAGGGCCTGCAGTCAGCTCTGCAGCTGGCTGTCAGGGAACTGGTGATACAATTCCTAGCTTCAAAGTGCGTGAGCCTCCATGCCTGAAAAGCTGCTTAATCCCAAACATGGTTATGCAGCACTTCTAGATGCCTGGGCTCAGACAGAAGCAATGCTGCTGAAAACAAACGAACAAACAAACAAACAACCCCCCAAAAAAACCCACACATAAATACATGCAGGTATTAAAAACCCCTTAAAAGCAGCATTGCCCACATCAAGCATCCATTGCACAGCGTTTGTTTCCTCCTAGTGGACCAGTGTGTGATTGCAGTGCTGGGCTCCTCCAGCTGAAATTACCCATTAGATTAACAGTACTTGAATTAAACGTGCAGAAATACCTGTAACTTACATCCATCTCCTCTTCAAGACTGCTGATTATAGCAGCCCTTGCGTATTTGACATTCAGGCTATTTTGATGAGTCACACTCAATTACTGCAGAATCAGTACTTCAATTTGTTCACCCTCCTAATGAAAAATAACAACGTAGAACAGAAATTCAGTTTTACTCTGGGGCACGAATCCTTCACTGCTTTAATATGAAGGATTAGCACGACGTTTTCATGTAGGAGTTTCCATCTGGGGTAAAAATTGTGCGTTTGCAGAAGAATTTCTTTATGTTTAAAGCTTCGTAAAAAACTAACCAATTTTCTTCATAGTCTAGAGATTATTTGAGGAAAGCACTAAAGAACAGAAATTTCAGAAAACACTGGAGCAGGCAAGCACTCAGACCATCAGAACACGATAACCTATACGGTACTAAGGAAAAAAAAATGAAGCGTTCTCTGTGATGTTCATCAACAACTGCTGACAAGTTTGTTTACTTGAATTCAAGTATCTCTTTTCATCACCACATTCAAACAGCTCACATATATGAGTAACAGGAACTTTTAGGTACAGCACAGAAAGCTGTATGTACATCAAAATAAAATTTAACCACTTTGTGTCAACGTTTAGAAGTGTGACACTTCTCCAAAACAAACTCACAGGATGTAAATCAACAAAGACTCTGCTTCTGCATCTTTGCTTCCCGGGAACAAAGACTTCTCATGGAGCCCACTTCCGTGACACCCAAACTCCAGAAAATGTTTTATTGGCAAATGCCAGGGAATAGTTTTATGACTTGAGAGACTCGTCTGAAGCTTCAGAACTTCACCTCTCAGAATATGAATGCAACTTTCAGTGAACTTTTATTCCTTCGAGAGCAGCCAGGCTTTGCTGCTAACAGGAAAAGACATCTCAGAAGGAAAACCCAACCCAGACATGGGTTTATGATTACACAGCATTGGTGTACAGCACTACTCACAGCATAACTCTCCCGGGAAAGAAACAGCACACCCATGAGATAACAGGACATTATGACCTCATGATTAAGATGAGCTCAAATGTGTATTTGACAAAAATACAGAAATATCCAGTGTCATAGTCTAATAATACAGAAATAACTTTTTTTCGGACAAAAGCAATGTATTTGATAATTTAAGGGTAAAACAACTTTCCACACGCATCAGTACTCAGCCAAGTAAAAAATATCAAGTACCTTACAGGGAAGACAGGAAGAAAAGATAGAAACTAAATGTATTTGACTGCATCTTTATACAAGTAGAGGTCTCTGACAGACAGTAGTCACCCCTACTATAGCACTCCACCTGCACACCCTCTTTCTCTACCTCTGTGCCACCTTCTCTGCCTTTTGTGCCTTCTGCCAAAGTTCAGACGAGTCAGCTAAGACCTCACCCTCTGAAAGTGCCACGTCAAGAACATGCAAAACATTTGCTGCATTCTTAGCCACTCATACCAACCACATCCTTAAAACAAACAAACAAACAAACAAAAAAACCCCAAACAAACACATACCACCTCTACTGGCCCAACCATCTGGAAGAATCCTTAAGGTTCCAGGTTAAAATGTCAGCTTCTTGAAAAGGTCTTCCTTCTAGCTCTGAGGTAGTCTCTCTGTCCCAGGACACTGAGAGCTCAATCTCACACAGGCTGCAATTATGCTAATGGACTGAGTTTAATACAAACCTGCCCTCTGCCACCCCGCTCTTTGGGTTTTGCTTTGTAGTCATTTGCATGTTAATAAATCAAAGCTATTAAATTTAAGGACACCAACATGATAGCCATTAATGCAACAGTATCAGACGAGGCAGACAAGTGCCACATGAAAGGAGGGTAAGAGCTTTCCTTGTCTCATCCTTCCTTTCCCCCTTGTTTCAAGCTGTTGCCAAAGCCCTTCCTTGTCCACGTCAGCTCTTTTGGTAAAAAGAGAACCACATTAACCATTAGCCCAGGGAGGCAAGAGTTATTTAAGATGCATGGAGCCTAAGGCCACTTAGTAAGAAAGGTGTGCCTCCTCCCTCCACAGCAGAGAGAGTCCTCCGGAACCAGCCAGAGCAATGATGAAGCAGACAGTAATGATGGGTGGGGTTTTCATCTTTATTTTAGCTTCTGGAATAAATTGGCATAGCCTCCCCTACAGAGGTGTCCTGTGGTCTGGCAAAGTTAGTTTCACTGCTAGAGGCTACAAGTGAAACTAAGGCTTTCCAGCAGCAATGACAACTCTGCCGCGCCCTGCCCATCACCTCTTCGAGCACTTCGTATCATTCCAGTTGTCTGTTAAGAAAGCTCTCACAGAGACCATCTTCCTAATCCTGCTCTCAATACAGGTCTACAGTTCTGGCAGTATGTTCCTGATACCGTACAGTAGTAGGGTCAAGTTTCAACACTGCTGTAAAACCAAAGGTAAAGTTGCCCTTCAGCCCCACCTTGCTTTAAGCCTTTCATGTTGTCTTGTTCACAGTTAGCAATTTTGAACTTGTTCTCTTACAGAAGCCACACAGCACAGTACTGTAATAGGCCAAACGTGATGCCTGTAGAAAACACAGCATCATCAGAGGTTAAGCTGCATTTTGGCACCATGGTTTCTTTCCTGCCACTGCCTTTTACACAGGAATCTATCCAGACCTGTCACTTTACAACCTCTCCAGGATTTTGAACACACGCTCTACTGAATAGCGTCAGAGTAATACACATGTATTTGCAAATAATTTAATACCTATATTCTGATGAAGTACATTCTGTGCGTCATTTTAGTTTCATACTCAATGAGAGGGTACATACACTTCACCGGACAACAAATTTAAACCATGACTATTTAGTAAATTATGCATTGTAGTGATTAAAACAAGACAAGCACCAGAGAAAATACACATGCTGAAGCCTGATGTATATACTACACGGTAAAGTCTTCAGTGACACAACCAAGAATTTGTGTTTCCCCCCCCCCCCCAATTACAGTGTGAGCAGAGGATTTGTCAGACATTCATTTCGTAGCTTCTACTGTCCACTCTACGCCTCCTTCCTCTTGATGATCAGAGGCCCAACGTTGTCGCCAGTTTCCTCGTTGTGTTTTGTGTGAGAGCCATCACACAGCGGGAACTGAAAAAAGAAAGAATAAACACATCTGAAGTAGCTAGGTTGAAAGTTCATTAGAACATCTTCTCATTAAATCCACTGTGACCACAGACCACCACTTTTATGCTGGCATCCCAGGTCTCCCAAGTGTTAGCTGAACACTTGTTTTGTCCATGTGAGTGCAGAGTGGATAAGAGGCTTGTCACTGAAAAGCAGCAACTCTGCTCTATTTGGTGTTCCTGCCTTGGGCCGGCACGAGGAAAACACAGCCTGAGCTGACCTTCAACCATAACCTACCTGAAGTATCTTGCTCGCAACCTTGCCCCACACTCTGTTTTCCCAGGCAACAGCCAGAGCTGGCAACAGCCAGAGCTCAAGACAAGTGGAGTGAGGGAGAGAAACGGGAAGAGGTCCTCAGCTTTATTTTCTTCCTGGTTTTCTGTAGCACGTGACGATTAAAAAAGGTTTCCCTAGCTCATCTCATATTTAGGTGAAGCACCTACGTGTTAGTCCTGCCTCCAGACAGCTAGAGAGGCAAGCTGCCTTTGCTTCATCCTGACACAGCTAGCTTATCTCATCGACACACAGGTTGCTTTGCACAACCTGGTTTCCACATTAGGATTTTGACCTGCTAATGGAAATAAACTGCACTTCCAACTGACACGGCTATTCATCAAAGGGTAGCACTGAGGAAGTAATTTGCAGGAATGTTTGTTCCATAAAAAAAGCCCTAGAACAGCCTGGTCAGAGCAGAACCCACAGGGACTCCCTTATTAGCCAGCTGTAACTGCCCAGGTCCCAGACCACTCTGCTCCTGGGCAGCTCTTTTCACGTGCAAGAGCCAAAGGACGTTCTGTGAAGCAATAAGAGTGAGATTAGATTCCAGCACTTCTCCAGGATGCATTTTCAGGGCTATGCCTCCTCTGCAGAGGAAACTCTGGAGATGATCGCAGAAATCAGTTACCATTTTGTTTGCTTAGAAGTATTGGGAATCAAAGTTGGGCATTACTCAGCTTTTGCTGTTGCAACAGCAATATTCCCTCGCAGTACAGTCACAATCAGTCTGTGACACTCCACTGATCCAAATTCATGCCTCAGTCATAGCCCTTGAAAAAAATCAACACCTTATCACCCACGCTTATTTAGAGTAAAAGATTTCAAAGTATTGCATGAAAACAATATAATGAAGACAATATACTTGCAAAATATCTCCTAGAGCTCTAAAAATAAAGCTACATGACCTGTAGGGTAGCGTTGGGGCGTAGGGGGAAAGAGGTGAGGTGGGTTTTTTTTGTTTTTCACAGTTACAAAACGTCAAAACCGGCGCTATAAATGGCAGATGACATTTCCAAATAAAGAAACCCTGAATTCGGAGAATACTTGTATAGGCAGATTCATGCAGGAACTTTATCATTGTGACTCAATCACTCGGTACTGACAGATACTTGGAAAAAAACTGAGCAAACAAGAACATATGTTCATGGGACACTGACCAGCTTCCAGCCCAGATGTTCCTGGGCCAGTTGTTTTTCCATGCAACACCACAGTCCACTGGTCTTCACACAAGTATTGACCCAGCTTCCATCAGACACAAGCATCTCAAATGCCCTGGGGAGGCAAGCCCAAGGTCCAGCTATAGCAACTTCATCGCTTCAAGTTTGCAATTAACAAAAATGGTGGGATTCATAGGCTTCAGATAGCATCAAGACAGCTTTAACAGCTACCAACTCTGATTGCTCTGAATTCATCCTCTGGGTCAGCTGCTCTCAGAACCACTGGCTCCCAGTGTCTACCCACTGCTCTTCCAGAGCACCCACTTGGTCACCTTGAAGACCAGATACTGAAGAGATGGATCCTGGGCCTGACACAACATGTTCATCCTTGATTAAGATAAAGGAGGCTAACAATAGTGGCCAAAGCTCAGCCCCTGAGGGAATTGTGCACTGATCTAGAGAGCTCAGCTTATTTCCCTTGACGCTGAACAGGTTTAGATTCTCTACCACAATTTCTTTTGATGTTCTGCAGCAGTACTCCCCAGCCTGCAGCCTGGGGACTAAAACTTCTATGGAAGACACAGAGGTTGCAGTTCATTGCAAAAAGAAAGCAAATTACTTTATCCCCCCCGGCCCCCCAGCTCACACACTTAAATATGAAGAGTAAGAAAATAAATGCTCTAACTTTCAACTAATTACAGTTTGGTTCTAAGACAAAACTCTTGCCTCTACACTGGTAAATTTGAATACTATTTTTTTTTCCATAAAATTTGACAAGCTATGAAGTGCCTGCAGAGCACAACACTGAATAGGAAAGGGCCATTTAAAGAAACACCTACCACCTACTTTAACAGATAACTACATCCCAATACAGACTTACTGAAAATACCATGTTTGGGTTTAAAAAAACCCCACATGCACCCCACAAAGACTTTGGCCAGCATAATCAAACAAAGTCTTTGAAGGATACTATTTCAGAAAAAAAAAACAAACCAAACTAAACAACCTGAAAATAATCCTTTTTTAAGCGTTACTCCAAAACACTCTGGTATGGTCCAACTGTTCTGTTCTTCGCCATACAGGAGGGTCACCATGTAAAGCCAGCTGTAGTGCACACGTACCATCAGTGCACACAGAAGTATCCTGTGGTTCGTAACGCTACTGGTTCAATTAACAGCCTCGCGCCTCAGATAAGGCTAAATCTGACAAGAGGTGCCCACGCAGTCATACAGGAGGACACTTCTTCTAACCTGTATTTGGCACTGAGATCCCCATACGCCGCTTATTTAACAAAAACACAGCAGTTACTCACTGCTTATTTGTTGTAATTCCCTGAATTGGAAGCACACAGATTCTACCATTTTGACATCATATACACATTATCTTACAAATTTTAACAGGACTTTAGTTTGAGAACTGTAAGAAACGGACAATGCTACCTAACTACTTCCAAAGACGACAAGCATGTGAGGATGAAGAAGAATGTCTCTGTATTTTATTACTGCTTGGCAATAACTGAACATGAGGAGAAGCACACATACTATCTTAAAGATTATGCTACCCACCATACAAGGTGAACTGATCAGGGCAAGAAGGCAGCAGCAAAACTGGAAACTGCAATCTTTGAAGCAGAACATGCTGATTAAAATACTCAGAAAAAGAAAACAAATGCCTTAAGAAATTTTCCATTGACCTTCTTAATGCGTTTAACAAGAACTTTCAGATCGGAATTCTAAGAACTTATTATAAGGTGGCGCCGTCTACTTCCTTTCAGTGTGTGACTACAGAGCCCTAACTCAGTAGGACAGTATGTTCCTAAACTGACAACACACCTTCAATATGCCAAAATGTACTTAGTAAGATTTTTACTTCCCACAAAAAAGATAGTATCAAACAATAGCTAGAATATTGGCAGGAGCTGCAATGCAACCACTAGAACCAGACACTATTGTCCATTTCTGTTTAGAAAACAGAGTAGGAAGCAGAAAGTAACAACACCAGGGTTCAAGTTCGTATTTTTTAATTTTTTTTTTTCAGAAGCCCTTGAAGGAGGTGCCTACTCCATTTCAACCTGAGGTAAGCCCAAAATCAGATATAAAACCAAAGTGCAGACACTTAGAGCAGCCCTCCTCCTCCCCTCTTTTTTTTACTGAAGGTGCAGCCCTCACAGCAGCTTCCAGTGTTGGATTCTGGCTGTCAGTTGAGATTTACCATAAAGATTTAGCAGCAATGCTGCAATACACGTGAGTGATACCTGCATGCTGTACAGCCATCAGTACTGCATGTAAATGTACACAATTCCCTGTTGTATGATCATACAATATGTAACTTAACTTAGCCCATGGAGCACACTGTGGCCACGGGAGAAGGGTAGGGGGTGAGGAATTCTGTTTTTCAGTTCAGGCTCCGGACAGAGCAAAGGAGACAGGCCCATCCCCACAGGACTATTTCAGAACCAAGTCACGATGCTGTTGAATCCCAGTAGCGTTTTAGGAGCATTTAGCAGAGGTTTTACAGCTGGGGTTGCAGGCAACTTCGCTCATGATAGTGTAGAGTTGCCTAAAATTGTGCAAAATTCAGGGAGGCATCCAGAGCATCAGCGGAGGAGGGAGGGCAGCTAAAAAAATAATCTGAACATGAGGAAAAACTTCTTTACTCTCAGGGTGGCAGAGCACTGGAACAGGCTGCCCAGGGAGGCTGTGGCATCTCCTTCTCTGGAGATATTCAAAACCCACTTGGATGCAGTCCTGGGCAACCTGCTGTAGGTGACCCTGCTTTGGCAGGGGGGTTGGACTAAATGATCTGTAGAGGTACCTTCCAACCCCTGCTTTTCTGTGATTTTAGTGTTAAACCAAATATAGCTACAAACATTTAACTTACAGTTATTTTCACCTGCAAAGTAATGAAGTCAATCTGACAACAGGAAGAACTAAAAGTTACACTACCTGGAAAATTGCTATGTGGCCTGATTAGACAAGTGTCTAAGGCTTGAGAAGTCTAATACGCAGTTTACCTATGGAGGGAAATATAGATTTCAAGGCTGTTGGCCTCAGTTATCTGGCTTTGAAGGTTTATATTATTTCAGTCGCCACACATCAGCACCTTGACTTCTAAAAAAGCTTTTAAATGTGTGCCAGTGGTAAACGGATGGGACTACTCATACAATCCGCTTTCTCACATTACAGATCCCAGAACTACCACTACAGATAAATTATACAGATCTCAGCTACATCAAATGTCACAGTTCTCTACCTCAGATTTAAATCTGATCTTAGCATTATTAGAAGGCTAGGTATCAGGCTTAGCACTAATTTTAGGCAACTGAGGCAACCCAACTTCATACACAAGTAAGTTGGACCAGCGTCTGGGCCAGATTTTTAATTGCTCAAAAACAGAGGCTTAAAGTATGCCATCATGATTTCACTGGCTTTACTTCAGGATTACCCATAGAACTATTTTGAGTTGCTAAGGCACAAACGCATTAAGTTCATCTATCTATATCCTTCAAAAGCTTTTAACCACAATGATTTCTTTTTAGATTACCTCCATCACCACTGGAAACAATTCACCACTGTACTCACTCCCATGGCAAAAGGCAGCTATCTACAGTACAGAGTACAGTAACAATAAATTCAGGACAGAGCAGCAGTACCACTGTAACAACCATCTGCACAAGTCAGGCTCTTCCCAAAACAATTCCGCATTGACTCTGGCTACAAGAATCAATGATGGGCTCAGACACTGCAAGTGACAATTTCACATCAGCTCTGGTACACCAAGAGACTTCTTAATCGATTTGTGTTGTAACACCATGAACCTGTAGCAAGGTACTTTCTGACTGACAGAGTAAGCTTCCAACTTCCTCCAGTAAAAGGCGTTTAAGGCCCTCTCAGACTGTGGTTCCTGAGCTCCTAGTGCCAACAGGCCACTAGTTTTGGATAAACCTCAGTATTAGCACAGACAGCGCACAAAATGGTACGTGTCACTAACGACTGTGATTGCTCCAGAGAGCTGCTCTCCTTTCAAGGGATCTGCCTCTTCAGAGCTACAGAAACATTTTGTTCACTATTAGCACTGATTACAGACTTTACGCTGAGCAACAGTGACACTACATAGTTTTATGGATTAAAATACTGTTACATCTCCCTGCAGAATAGTTTAGGCGAAGTTAGTTTCCTCCAAATAAAGCAGTTTGAAAATAGTTTTGTTGAAAGATGCATGCACATGAACAGAAATGGACCATTTATTCTTCTCTTACCTTCTTAGATCTCCAACAACGACAGTACACAGCCTTGTCTCCCAGATCTTCCATATCAAATGCATGGACTACCTTGGGGTTATCCTTCTGGATATGGGGATTCACCATTGCTTTGCAGCATTTGTCTTTAGAGAGAATTTTTTTGTAAGCTAGATACCCAACAGCAGCTGCTCCAGCAGCTAGGGAGACTGCAGCAATCCATTCAGCTAGAACAAAAGCGAAGAAAAAAAGAGACGGTCAGTTTGACCACAACATTCTATTGAAACTACTCAGTAGTAAAAACATCTTCATGCTTGTGGCAACACCTCTACTTTCCAACAGACCTTTTTGCTCTGTAGCAGTAACACAGTGCTTTAGAAGAATATTTTCTTTTGACACATTTGAATATTCACAATTTTCAATATTTTCTTTTCTTTCTATTTTCTAGTTAACCTACTCCTTTCTACTGATCAGAGTTCTCCTTCACCCCAATCCCTTCCACACAAGGGTGAGGATTAACCCGGCAGCATTTGGGGGTTTTTTTAACCTTTTATTTGGGAAGCCCTGATACCAACATCAGTAGTACAGTACTTCCAACTTCAGCACATCAAACCAGCTATACGTACACCCTGTAGCAGCAAAAAACTCTGTTGTTTGTTTCAGTTGCAGGAAAATCACTAAAGAAGAATGTTCAGTATCAACAAGCCAAGCAGGATCCCCCCCCAAGGGATGGGTACTGAGTAGCTTTTAATAGAATACATCTTGTAACTAAAAAAAGTTATCAGATGTTTGGCAATGGGAAAATTATTTAACATACTACCACCAGTAACAAAAGCCAGCTTAGATTAAACCCCTACTGTGATGTACAGGAAAGACGAAGGATCCAAAAATATTAAGAATAATAGCACAAGTTTATTTTATTTGACTCCCTGAAAGCAACTTTCATTAAAAAAATCCTATCGCTACCACCTCTCATCCTCACTTTTCCTCCCTCTAGTTACCTCCAAAGTCTTCGCAGTCTTGCTCGCTTAGTGTAATGTCCTTTTCTGCAAGGAGTTTTCCTACTTTTTTGTGGCTCTACTGTTTTCTCTCTGCCTCATGAAAATATGCTGGACTTTGGCCCGAAGGTTCTAGTTGCAGCAACAGCCCCAGCTGTTTCTCTTGGAGCAGCAGGTGGCTGCTCTTTCTTTCCTTTTTATCCACCACTTCTACTCACACACATACACGTAACACGTACATAACAGAGTTCGGCTGACTCTACAGACAAATAAACCAAACAGGAATTTAAGTACCAGCACATCTACACAACTTAAGAAAAGTCGAACAGTCTCCAGTCGGGAACTTCTATACTGCCCTTCCACTCACATTGCATTTGAAAGCCAGATGGCATCTTTGGAGCAAGAGACATTACTACATTAAAAGCTAAGAAGAAACAAAAAGCCTTTTGTTAGTTCTTTCTACTTTCCACGACCAGCTGACTTGCTGTATTGCCACTGGGAGCTCGCACTAAAAGGACTAAGAAGGTCTTCTGCCCCTGTCCCACAGCCTTTTCCAAAATCCATACCAAGCCCTTTCCCCAGCTAAAACATGCTGATCCACAAGGCTCTGCATATAGCAATATGTGGAATTAGACGTGTATTTGTATGATATCTGCAGCCCTGTAAGAGCAGTGAAGGTAGGTACTCCTCTAGTGCTACTAAAGGAGTAAAGGATGTAGAAATCCTCTGGAGCTCATTTTCTTTGTAAATGAAGCAGAAGAGACCAACATACACTGAGACCTCCCCTGCAAATGAGGGACAAACCCTCCCTGTAACAACAGGGTGATACTAAGATACAGAAAACCATCTTTAACATCAAAGAATTTAGGGCTCCCAAACTCCTTCTAACAAGAAAAGCCTCAAAGAGCTTATTGGAACTTCAGTGTTTTATATCCATCCAATGGATTCTCACCTCTTTATCTCCCCATTACAAACTAGCCAGAGTAATGCATGAATTTTAATAGGGTAAAGAAGTGAGGAGTTGAAATTAAAGAAGGGATTTTATGAAAATCTGCTTTAATTCAGCAAAACAACCCAAACTAATCCAAAGAACAGCCACAGCTTAAATCAGAGGCAGGAGGTTCTCCCAAGGAAAGCCACCACCAAGAGTCTGCAGCACCCTTTCCCCTTCTTCCTGGAGCACATTTCCCCAGGCAGAGCAGGGCTGGGGCAGGGACCAGCCAGCTCAGGGACAAGCTGGGTCTGACAAGTTTAAAGTGATTTCTGATGAAATGTCAAGCGTAGCCAGACCAGTGGCAGGCAAAACAGAGGGACTGCCCACACCGGGGATTTCAGAAAAGCAGCAGTTGCAAGGACTGCCCAAGCTGCTAGCTGACACGTTGCAAATGGATCAAATCTTAACCAATGTTTTCAAACAACTGATGAGGGGACAATGACAAACTGTATCCATTCCCTTAAGAAAATTAAGGGGAAAGAGCGACTTTAATGAAGACCAAGGATGACTCCTATAACTGAACCACCTTTTAAGGTGCTGCACCTTCAGGAAGCCAACCTATTGCACCTATCCAAAAGTCCAGGTCAGCTTAACAAACCAGCAGAAGAAAAGATTCTGATGATAAAAATGCTTCTACAACTTTTAGCACAAGCAGGGAAGTCCATACTAAAATTCAGTGGCTTTGCAGCACATTCAGAGGAGCTGTTCTGTGCATCTGCAGCTAACCCAGATCCCTCTGGCCATCCTTCAGGCCACCTACAACATAACCATGCACAGTACATCCAGCCCCACAAGCAGAGAGCATGAATTTAAAGTAATCGTCATTGTGTACTTCAGTGACTTTCTACTGCTTCTCTTGGGGGCCAGACTCATCTATTACAGACATGGGCAGACTGTAAACATACAAACAGCTTAATATGTTTTTTCTTATAATGGATCGTAGTGTATTTTTTACTGTATTAGCTTTTTTTTCATCACTTCTCTGGAGCTGTATCAGGGTGGAAAATTATATCAACCTGTAATACAAAAAAACTAAACATTTAAAGCAGTCTATTCTTTAAATTTCAGCATTGCTGTAATAAACAATGTACATTTATGAAGACTATTTGAATTTAACAAATAGACTCTCTCTCTCTCACTCTTATGATAGTATCATCCTGCAAAGTTTCAGGGGCAATAAGTCTTGTTGTCAACTGTTGTTTTGTTTCTCAAACAGATTTGGAAGAGCTGGAATGCCCAAATGCCCATTTCACCTTCCAAACTAAGTTAACCTAAAACTGCACCTGGAAGGAAAACACTTTCAGAAGTTTTTAAATACTTTAAACTCTGTTTCAAGAGGCCTCTGGTGCAAATTCAATAGTTTGCTGCCAAACTCTTAAGGCCATGCACATATCACTTGAAGAGGTGCCTGTTAACAGAGTGACATTGATGTGGAATGTCAAGGGGTTTATTTCTTTTTAAAACGAAAACAGTCAGAGCAATTTCTGAGTGATTATCAAACAAATCCCAATTCTGGTATAATACCAAAACCCAATGTTACAAGTCACTACAGGCCTGTGTAACATGGCAGAAAAATTGTTTCAATGTTCTAAGCACTAAACAATGGAAAGGGTTTGGCTAAAACTCCAGAAAAATTAACACACGAAGGAGAGAAGGGAAAAGAGATGGAAAGAAGGAAACAGAAGTCCAAGAATGCAATCCCAGGAAAGCAGGCAGTGCATAGAAGTAAACAAAAAAATCAGAACAGTAACAAGCCAATGGTAGGAATTTATTTTCTTCTATATTCTTTGGACATATCCTAATGAATGAGAGATTTGGATCACAAAGTTTCTCCTCTCTCCTCTTCTCTCTCCAAACAGCTAGAATATTACTCTGGATGTTTCCAGACGTAGTTTTAGGATCTGCCAGTGAGCTCAGACAGATTTTATCTGCAGGAAGAACAGACATTTACCATCTGCACTGACAAGCGTATGAAGAAACTGAGATGGTCTTGGCTCCACCAGGAGTGCAGGATCCTCATTACAACACGTATCAATTTACTTTCCACGAACTGGCAACAACATGGGGGGTAGCCGCACCTCTACAAAGTTAGTCCAAGACAGTCCTAACAGGCAATTTTCAAATTACTTCTGCTGCTTAAAAAAAATGTTCATGTAATTGAAAGTCAGCTACAAAGTAATAACTCCAGGCATGAAAATCTGTATTTTTTTGTTTCAGAAGCGCTTATAACTTTTAAGCATTGTTCTCTTTTTGCTGCCAATGAAGAGGCTATTATTGTCCAAGGGTTGTTTACAACAGTCCAGTAGTGTAACTGTCCACGACGAAAGGCCACCTTTCTGCAGGCCATGCTTGGATAAACACATGACACTTGCTTACTGAGGAGTCATCCAGGATAACTGGCTGCACGGAAAGCCTAATAGTAAAAGCCAACCAGCCAAGCAGATAAAGTCACTCCTACCACTTTGCAGCATTCACAACAAACAGGATTATGACCGGCAGGCTTTTTTAACCAAAACTGAAAGGTAAAGAGGCCACCTGGGGGAGAAAGATTCTTGGATCTGGTCAATAAGGGGCAAAAGACAAGTCACCATGATCAGATCTGTGGTCAGTGTGGTGTCACACCTGCAAACAACCACATTGCTTGCAACAAAAAGCACTAGCTGTGCTATTCACTGCCTTCCAAAGGTTAACCTTTCAGCATACACACACACCAATATACACAGAAGCAACTAACTCTTCAATTACTACCAAGAATTAAATCCCACAAAATTACAGTAAGTTTCTAGTGTGTAGTTTTCAGTAGGGAATGAGGCATTACTATGACTTCCAAAGTTTCACCAGCCTGAGACACAAGTGCCTCACACCAAGCTGAAGAAAAAGGTATGACCTCCCGGTGGCCAGGCACTAATCAAGTTTAATATTGACAGAAATCCTATTAACAGTATGCCACCTCCCCCTAAACAATGCACCCTCCAGACTGCTCTGATCAGCTGTTCCCCTGTTTTCCCAGGTTAGGGAGGATAATTTCAGTCTGATTAGGAGCACGTTCCTCTCCCTCCCCCACAAACTAAGTTTTCTTCTCCATTCCTAGTGTATAGAAACTGTTCTAATTCTTGCAAGCTTATAAATGACAGTAAGCTGCCCTTGGGAATGCAAGCTGGCTATGAACTATTATCAAGTCACCCTCAAGGCTTCGGTTTGACTGTTTTAATAAGCACAGCCTTTCATCACTGTA